TGCATGGGAGCAGTCACCCTCCCTGCCTCCCACGTATATGTACCCAGCCCTTGCCCAAGGTCTGCTCTGCAGGTGGGATACACAGAGGCAGGTGTCTGTCCAGGGCACAACCTGCCCTAGAGCATGAAGGACTTTTTTGGGGTTGGGGGGTAGAATATTGGGAAGATCACAGCCAGTGAACTGGGGCAGAAGGGCAGGGGCTCCAGCTGCCCCACTTCCATCCCCAGCCTGCTCCACAGCCCTAGTCTGGGCAGAGCCTGATACCCTCCTACCACCTTGTAGGCCAGGGTGTAGAGAGGAGGTTGGTCCAGGCAGCATGCAGACAGAGGTGGAGGGGAGTGAGGGCAGGGGTTAGGGAATGGGAGGTCACACATGTATCCATACAGCCCCCAGCCCTGCAGAGGGACAGTGGCCAGGGTAGCCACCCTGGGTGGAGTGCCACACCAAGGGATCCCTACCGTGGAGGGAACTTGGTGCCAGGATCAGCACTTGCTATGCATTATGCCATTTGTTCCTCACAACCGTTCTCCATGGCGGGTGGGGCTGATGATGAAACCAAGACTCAGAGAACTGACAGTGTGAGCCACTTGGTAAGTGGAGCAGCCAAGACACAGGCCTGGGTCAGCCCACCCCGGACCCCATGTCTGTCACCACCGAGCTGCCTCTGACAGTGGGGGCAGTCATACTTACCCAGAGGGCCGAAGAGGGGCGGTCACATCTGTGACAGCACTGCGCCCAGCTCAGCCGAGCACAGCAGGTGTTGACCCAGTGAGAGCTCCCATCCTCTGCTCCATGAGGCTGTTGAGTAGGGATGAACTCCTGGGTGTCTCAGTGCTGGTCCTGGTGGGGGTGTGGCTCCGCCTGGAGCACCCTCAGTGTGCTCATCCAGACCCGACCAGCTGCATGTTATAGTCCAGCCTGTGTCCCAGCTCAGGGAAGTTTGGGGGTGGGGAGCGGGACGCAGGTGGGCTGAGGTCCATGGGCACGGTATGGGCATCCGTGTGCACACACATGCATTGTGGTACTTTAAGGAACACTGGAGTGCGGAGCTGTACTCACTGGTATGCATAGATCCCTACTCTTATTCACACCTCTCTATTACTGCTTTTAATTAGAGAGAGAGAGAAAGATGCCTAGAGTGGCCAGGACTGGACTAGGTCCAAGCCAGCAGCTCATTCCAGATGCCCCACCTGGGTGGCAGAAACTCAGCTACCTGAGCCATCACCAGCTGCCTCCCAGGGTGCACATTAGTGTGAAGCTAGAGTCAGGAGCCAGGGATGGGAATCAAACGTGGGCACCAGGGTGGGACACAGGTATCTACCGGCTGGGTGACATGCCTGCTCCCTGGATTGTACGTCTGAACCCCCCTGTGCCCCGTGATTGAGACGCCGGCCCTGCATTCAGGGAGCTCTCAAATTCAGCATGGAGTGTGGAGATGAGGGGTGACTGCAGTGAAAACCTTCCTGCAAACTCGGGTGTTCAGAGGAGGGGAGGAGATGGCGTGTCGGAGCGGGTGGTGCTCACGCGGTGCTGGCTGAATGAGAATGAAGAAAAGGCATTCCAGGCTAGGAAACAGCCCTGGACAAGCCCGGAGGGCATGGAAATCCATGGCAGGTTCAGAGACGGCTGCAGCTGTGGCGTGATGTGGGGGCACACGGGTGGGAGAGACTGGCCGGGTTGGAAGACCATGAACACTGAACCGTGGATCCCGAACTTTTGAAAAAGGTATAAATTCGGCTGTAGGAGAGTCCGAAGGGAAGGTGTCCCAGGAGGGGCACAGGGTGAACAAAGGCAGGGACGGGAGCAGTGGTGCTGAGGTGGGAGGGTTGGCCCCAGCAGGGACTCAGGGAGCCCGGGGAAGCAGATGATATACCGGTCTCCAGGGACCAGCACACTCTCAGAAATCAGGAAGAAGACGCAGCTCACGAGTTATGCTCTCTGCTGCAGTCTCCTCACTGTGCAGCCGGAGTGGAGCAGTGGGGCAAGCCAAATGCCAAAAGGAAGCCCCCTCTCCTGCCCGGTTCCCTCCATCGCACAGGGCATGGCAGCTGAGCAAGTAGGTTTGTGGCCTCTTTGCTCCCCAAATGGGATTTCCTTTGGGTTTGCGCGCATGGGAAAGGCCCAACGATCTGGAAGTGGGAAGTGGAACAGCTTCCATGACCCAGCTGTGGGTAGGTGGCCTTGGAGCAGCCCCAGCACACACAGCCTGCAGTGTAGTGGGGCCTCCACAGAGAGGCGAGCATGGAGCTCACCTGGGACCCACTTGCCGTCCCCGAGCCCTTATCCTTACGTTCAGGCCGTCTACTCTGGCCTCTGCTCTACCCAGTGCCTCTGCCCTGGACTGGGCCTTGGTGACCCTCATCTCTGCTGCAACTGCCTTCTCCCAGCCCACACCTCCTGCCAGCAGCCAGAGAGGACTTCCTAGAACACATATCTGTCCCTGTTCCCTCTCTTCTTAGGCCCATTCACGGTCCCCGCCATCCCTAAGGTGGTGTCCAGATGCGTCAGCCTGGAGGCTGAGCCCCACTGTCAGGCCTGTGACCTCCCCAGGCTCTTTACCTGCTGGAGCCCACATCAGCCTCAGAGGCCTCCACAGGGATTCAGGTGCCCCTGAGCCTGCCTTACCTTGGCCTTCAAGGCCCATGTGCCCCACTGTCTTTGGTAAACCACAGGGTTCATGGTTCCAGGCTCAGGTGAGCCAGTGGTTGAATAAGCTAAATGCATGGGTGTTGAATAACTTCCTACCTGTGTCTTCCACGCCTCCCACCCAGCACCCCACTTAGTGCAGCCATCTGTCCCCCCAAGAAGCCTCATGGCCCCCGGGCTGGCTATGGTATCTCCTCTGGACTGCTACAGCCCCTGTGTGTCACTCCATGACAGCTCAATTGTGATGCTTTATGGAGGGGGAGAGGGGCAGTTGTGTGTGTGTCTCACATGGGCTCTGAGCAGCTGGAGGGGAGGATCTGTGTCTGTGTTCCTGCTGTATCTCAGTTTACCCAGCAGGCTGGAGACATTCTGTCCAAATGAATGGGCCTGCACGGAAAATCACCACATGTGTTGAACTGCCCCAGCCTGGGGACACTGACCTCCCAGGGTGGACTACAGGGTGTGAACACTGCCACTGGTCCTCTCCAGCCATTACCCCTACCCGCCTTGTTAACAGATAAGGTTCCTTTGAAGCTGGGGAGGGCAAAAGCTAGGGTGCCCATCTCCGAAGAGGGAGGTGTCAGGTTCCAAATGTAGATGTGAACAGAAGCCAGTCCCTCCTTCTTCCCCCTGCAGATGAGCCCCCAGAGAAAAGGCGTGGATGAGCAGGCCTTTGGGAGCATTAGGCCCTGGGAAATGAGACTATGTCCACTTTGTGCCAGGCCATCTGCTATTGGAAGCCCAGACTGGCCCTGGTTCAGAGGCTGGGGGCTCGGCAGGAGGGGAAGGGCCGGGTGGATGGGGAGGGGACCTGGGGCCCTGCCTGTAGGCCAAGAGCTCTCCTCCCAGCCACTCCTCCAGTTGGAAGGCTGCAGTTGCCATTCCTAATCAGGAATGGCAACTCCACCCTGGGCCCAGGGATTGAACACTTTGCTTGGGGAGGGACCTGCCACTGCTGTCTCTTTCTCTTCAAAGGGCCACCTGCCCCTGGGAAGGCAGTGGGAGAGCAGAGCCACCTGGGCTTTAGCGTGAGACTTGAGGCTCGGTCCAAGTCCTGTCTGTCTGCGTCCTGTCGCAGCCCTGTGACCTTGGGCAGGTCACTGTGCCTGAGGCACATCCTTCATGGTTTTTGTTGTGTGGTTAAACACCCAGCACCATGCCCAGAGGCTGCAGGTGCCTGCACGCAGCCAGAACACTAACTCAGGAACCGTCCATCAAGTCAGATGGTGGGGGTTGGGGAGGGGTGGCAAGAAGAGGCAGCCTGCCCTGGCCAGCACTGGAGCTGGACATTGACGGCCGAGGGGGAATGGGGTGAGTGGTTATGAGAGAGGACATTTTTTGCTAAGCAACTTCCATGAACAAACACTCAAAATTGGCTGAGTCCTGATGTTATTCTCAAATATGGGTGAGTGAGGAGAGAGGCAGGAAGGTGTGCAGGGGTTTGAGTGCCAGGCCAGAGGCACTTCAGAGAAAGAGCTTCAGGGTCCTATTGCTACATCAGCAACTTCTTCCGAGCTCTTGTGTTAGAATGGGGCAGCAGGAGGCAGGGAGGAGTTAGAAGGTAGGGGACTCCTGGGAGAGGACAGAGCTGGGTGGAGGCTGAGGGAACAGGCGGCCTGGTGCCTGGGGAGGAAGGTCTGGGTGGGCAGAGCCCCCCAGCCCACTGCTGTTTCCTCTTCTCTGTGATTCATTGCTGCTCTGCCTGCCCACTACCCACCCTCTGACTGCAGGCAGGCAGTGACACAGCTGCACCATGCCCCACTGCCCAGCTCAGGCTTGGTATATGGTGGGCACTGAGCAGTCAGATAGCCAGATGATAAATCAGATACCTTAGGTATGGGAGTGGTGGTAGTTCTGAGAGCAGTCAGTGGATGCTGATCATGCCCTGCAGGTGGACGGACCCCCTTATCATACAGTGTCCCCTACCCCTGGGTCCCTCATATTAGCACTGAGCAGTAGCCTCACAGCCCCAAGTGTGAAGACAGGGAATTGAGTCAAGAGGGGTCAAAGCCTCACTGAGACAGAGCCTGACACACCTCTGTCTCAGGCTGTCTGGGCTGCAGTGAGCACCTGCTCTCAGAGTCCTGATTCAGGCTTGCTGTGGCCTCAGTATTTCAGATGGCCCTGGTGAGGGGTCCTCTCAGACCCACGAGTGGCAAGACCACGTACTTCCCTGGCCCTGGTGGCCTGTTTCTAATTTAGGCATGCACTTTCTCAGAGTCCTGGGCACTTCCTGGGGAGCTGAACCAGAGCTCTTCGGGGCTCGGGCAGGAGGGGAGAGGGTGGGTGGGCAGGGAGGTGGCCTGGGAGCATGCCTGTAGGCCAAGAGCGCTCCTCACTGGCCACTCCTCCAGTTTGAAGGCTGCAGCAAAGCCTTTTCACGGCTGGAAAACCTCAAGATCCACCTGCGGAGCCACACGGGCGAGAAGCCGTACCTGTGCCAGCACCCGGGCTGCCAGAAAGCCTTCAGCAACTCCAGCGACCGCGCCAAGCACCAGCGCACTCACCTCGACACGGTAGGCCCCCCCCCCCCCGTCTCCAGTGAGAACCGTGTCCGTGTGCAGACCCTGCCTTTGCCCTGTAGCCACGCTGACATCTAGGGCAGGAAACGTCTTTGACAGGGAGGGTCCTGTACGCTGCTGGATGTTAGCAGTTACCTGTGGCCGCCATCCACTAGACAGAGGGGAGGCTACTTCCCATCTCACAATGGTGACTGCCTACAGTGTCTCCAGACATCGTCAGTTGTCCTAGGGGTGGGGTAGCAGCACACTCGCCTCCAGTTGAGAACCACTGTTTTGGCCCATGGTACCAGCCTGGGCACCAGCATCCTGTGTATCGCCATAGGGAGAGTGTGCCTACTCTCCTACACCCTCCCACTCAGTGCAGACCTCTGTCCTCACCCCCTCCAGAGACAGGCCCAAGTCCTCTGTCCGTTGAGAACTGTTGGTGAGGAGTCGAGGTGGGCAGCCCCTAAGACTTTGGGTTGCTGCCACAGTGACCTCCAGACACCCGTGTCTCTCTATTCCCTCCCCTCATTTGTGCCAGATCTGGGTAGCCTGCAGCGGTAGGCCCAGGTATAGCCAAGCCTCCCCATGTGCATAAGATCACAGCGCTTGACAGAGCACTCCCTAAAACAATATGCCCCATGCCAACCCTGCTGTCAGGGGCTCCAGGAGGCCAGTGCGTGCTCACAAGTGTACCACTGGATGATGGCAGAGTCCTGGGTGAAGGGACAACAGGACACTGGGGTCTGCAGCCAGAGTCCGCATCAGGGCCCCAGGCCTGCTCTCTGCTCCTCCTGCGGATGTTTGGGGAACTCTGGGGGTGGGAGGCTGGGAGACCCGAGTGGTCAGCAGCCCAGCCTGTCCAGTGTGCCGACGTACAGGGTAAGTGGAGGCTGGGAGACCCGAGTGGTCAGCAGCCCAGCCTGTCTAGTGTGCAGACGTACAGGGTAAGTGGAGGCTGGGAAAGAGCAGAGGTCTCAGCTGCGGGCCTCCGACGCTTATCTTACAGCTGGGAAAACTGAGACCCAGAAAAAGGGCAAGGTTGGGGGCAGGAGGGACGCACAGGAAATAACAGGGTACTGGTGTTCCTGGGGTTGGAGCAGGTGCCCACAGAGTCACCCACGAACCCCCACCCCCAGTTTACACCTGGCGACAGCCCAAGGTGTAGGGACCCTTGTTCCCATTTTATAAACTAAAAAACAGAGAAACTAGATCACTCTGCCTGTGAGGCATGTGGCTGAGTTGAGATGCAAACCCAGCTTTGTGTGACCCCAAGTCCAGCGATCTTTGCTGGAAATGCTGACTCAGCTGCCACCCTGGGGTGGTGAAGCTGAACACAGGGGACAAGGCAGAGTTCTCCCAGCCTGAATCAGACTCCTGCCCACACCAGGCTTCGCCGTCCCAGGTCACGCTGGGGGCGTGAGGTGAGGAGTGGGTTCTAACAGGCCGTGGGCTACCTCTCCGTTGCTTTCTCAGCCCTTATGGCCCTTGGCCAGGGCCCTGCGAGCCATGCTTCAGGCCCCAGCACCCTTGGCTGTGTCTCTCACAGGCCCCAGGGCAGCACTGCCAGCACCAGTCTCCCCACCCCCCCCACCCCCGCCTTCTCCCCGCTGGGGACCTGGGAGACGTCTCCCTGGGCTCTCAGGTCATCTACCCTGACTCACCCCCTCCTTCTTGCCTCCCCACTATTTCCTGGACCCAGCCCCAAAGCAACAGGCCTCTGGCCCTCCCCTGGTGTGTGACGGTCAAGGCAGGCACAGAATGAGCCTGCAGGCTGATCCCAGGCCTTCGTCTCCCCAAGAGGGCCTGGGAAGCCTGGGAGGTGCAACAGCCAAGCCTGTACCCACTGGTACCCACACTCCCTGCACAGACTCCCCAGGGCCCCATGGGGGCCTAGTTTTCCAGAGAGGACCTAGCTCTGTCTCCAGCTTCCTGCTGGCATCAGGGAATGAGAGCAAGAAAAGTAGAGAGGAATGAGCTGAGTTCTGACCCTGGCCCTGCTCTGCTCCTGGAGGTCTGAGGAAAGCTGCCTCCCTCTGCAAGACTCGGTTCCTTCAGGAAAGCCAGCACCACCAAGGTACCAGGTTGGGGGCCGCATAGTCACCGTCTGCTCGGCCTTGCTTTGCCCGTCCTTGCCCCTTGCTGCCCGGGCACACCTGAGTCCTGCTCTGCCCCAGGCCTGGGGACACAGACTCCCATGGGGGCCCAAGTTAGGCTGTTGTCATGCTCTGGCGCTGTCTCCCCACCGGCAGGTTGGGGAAGTAGCCATCTCGCCTTTGCCTGCTCCCTGGACCGATACCGGTCACAGAGGAGATGGGGTGTCCTGCAGGTATATTCACTATGACATCTTGGGCAAAAGATGAGCCTTGATTTTTCATTTGCGGGGATCTGCAAGGCTGATCCTTGTGGGGTAAGAGCGGGCATCAGTGTGGTTGTGGACGGCCAGTGCTGGCAAAGTGCCCGTGCCCAGGGACCACCAGGTGAATGAGCCACAGAGACCCAGGTGGCTCCGTGGGGTGCAGTGGACCCTCCGCCCAGCACCCAGCAGAGCAGCCTTGTCACTGACAAGAGGGCTTGGAGCCTCGAGGGGACTCGTGCCTGAGGTTTGGCTGCTGGCTTGGGACAGCCACAGGGTTTCCTGAGGGCGCACGGGGGAGCTGGGCCCAAGGAATGTTCTGCACGCGTCAGGCCCTGGAAAGATAAACACAGAGATGGGCCTTGCTGCCCTGTTCCCCCAGTGCGCCTGCATCTACCAAGCTGTTTGTTTGCTTTTTGACAGATCCTTGTCGATGGGTATCAGCCTTCCCAGGGGGACAGAGCTCAGCGGGCCCCAGGGCAGGGCCCTCGGAGAGAGAGGCTGTGTGTGTGTGTGTGTGTTTCAGGGCGGGTTGGGGGCGGAGGGCGGGCAGTCCACTGCGGCCGTCCACCCCTCCCGTCAGCCTTGGGGCTTCTCACTGCTCTGTCTCTTTCTTTTTGCTCTCCTCCATTTCTTTACCCGGAAACCCTCTGCGGCAGCACCCAGGTATGGTCGTCTCCTCGGCTTCCCCTTCCCACAAGGTCCCTGGGCCCAAGATCAGAGCGGCCTCTAGGGCAATGTTACCTGCAGGATTAAGGGCAGGTGCATGCCGGCCCAGGAGTCCCTGGTGCTTATTCTGACAGGTGGCATTTCCTCCAAACATTCTGCCATCCCCCGCTGCCCCAGGAGGACAGAGGGTTCTGTGGGGGCAGAGCCACTGCAAGCACCTGAAGCAGCTGGAGGCCCCAGGCAGGGCCTTGTGGAAGCCCCTTGAGAGAGACTGGGAGCAGTGGGAGCCACGAGTCCCCTGCGAGGCCCGACAGCGGAGGGATACTGCACACATGCAGCAGCTGCATGGGGTGGCCAGTGCAGGCTGAGGGGGAGGGGAGACAGTCCGGTGGGGGGCTGGTTGGGTGCAGGGGCAGGCAGAGGAGCGAAGGCTTGCAGGCTCATGTCAAAGGCCTCCAGTGCCGAGAGGTGGCCGGTGTTCTGAGAGCAGCATGGAGCCCCTGAGGGAAGTAGGAGGCCAGAGCATGGCCTGCTCCAAAGGCCATCTGCCTGCAAGGGCGGGGGGCACAGAGGCCTGGGGGCAGGAACCCAGCAGAGGCAGGGGGTGGATTTGGGGGTCTTCCTTGTATGCTGTGGGTGGGTACTGGGAGCCCATGGGAAGAGACCACCCACTCATCACACAGGAATGTTACCCCCAGTACCCCAGGCCTGTGCTGAGAGCCAGCTCCCTTGTGGCCTCCCTCAGTTGTTGGGAGGAGGAGCTGTGTTTCTTGTGACCCAGAGAGCAGTTTGGGGACTCTGAGGCTAGCACCAGGTGCAACCCATCCCCCAAGGCTTGCCCTGCTGATCGCACTCCCTGCCCTGGGTTGTACCCTCTTACCCCTCTCTTCCCTCCTCCCCCACTTCCTCCTCCACCTCTCTGCAAGGTGCCCGGCTCACTTTACTCCTTGTGCTCTTGCTGCCACTTCGCAGCTATGGGATACAATGGGGACACTTTCCTCAGATCAGTGCCGGAGCTGCAAGAACCCTTAGAACTCAGTCAGCCCCGGTTTGCAGAGGACAGAAGTAAAACTCAAAAGTCCTAGCATGCTGGTGGAGTGGAGACACAGGCCTTGCCCCACCGCCCCTTGCCTACCCCTGTGGCCTGCAGCTTACCCTCACCTATCATCCTACCCGTGTCAGGTGACACAGGGGACCTTGGCCCTGAGAGGGGCCCCTCACGTCCCTGTGCCCTCTGATGTTACAGAAGCCGTATGCCTGCCAGATCCCTGGCTGCTCCAAGCGCTACACAGACCCCAGCTCCCTCCGCAAGCACGTGAAGGCACACTCGGCCAAAGAACAACAGGTGCGTGAGAAGGTAAGACAGCCTCTGTGCCAGGCCCTCTCCACAGATGACCCCGTGCCTCCCGGCCGCCTGTCCTGTCACATCAGGAACCCTTGCTCCCTGTCCACACACTGGGAATACCGCCATCCACCAGTCCGTCCGCCCATGCATCTGCCTCCCACCAGGCCCCAAGTGTGTCTGACCCACAGCCCTTCCTTCCTTACCCCCTGGCCCTAAGCAGCTCCCCTCTCCGTCCGCCTGCCTGCTTACCACAACTTCCGTCATAAACATTTGATGTCCAGTCCTGGTGAGTCCCGCTTTCAGTGCCTGGTGGGTGAGGCGGACAGGAAGTGGTGATTCTGTGTTACAACCTCGATGGTGATAGTGGGGTGCAGGAGTCGTCAGGGGCACGCCTGAGGGGGCTGGAGCCCATCTAGGTAGGAGCAGGAGGGTCTATGGGAGAAATGGCCCCAGGCGTGAGGGGTGTGCGCACTGGAACCAACCCTGGCTGGCACCTCCCTGCTTCTTGTTCCTCACCATCAGGTTGGAGAGTAGACTTGCTGTGAAGGGTTTACAGCCATGCTGACCAGAGACTCAAAAACTCAGAACAGGAAGGGTGTGTGTCTTCATAGCACTGGGCAGGGCAGGGCAGGTAAACTGTGCGCCCCAGAGAGAGAGCGGCATTGAGTGAGGACTGGAGCCTGAGGCCCAGGGTGTGTGCAGGACCAGCGGACACTCGCCTGTCTCCAGCTAGGCAGCACAGGGAGGAAGAGGGGTAGCTGCCACAGAGGTTGAGTATGTCTGATGGACAGCGGGTGCCCTCAAGGAGTTAGGAGCAGAGGACGGTCATGGCACCTCGAGACCCGGCTCTGAGGCCTTGGGGAGAAAGGCCTGGGGCAGTGGCTGGAAATCAGGCAGGGAAGCTGCTTCTGCAGACCCAGAGAGATGGTGGAGACTAGCTTGGGGCAGAGTAGGAGCCGACAGGAGGGGCTGGGCTGGGCTGGGCTGGGAGGGGGAGCAGCGGGAGCCCCAGGGCCAGGCTTCAGGGGACAGGAAGGACGGTGGTGCCTTTCCGTCCTCTCAGGACAGAGAACCTGACAGGGAAGCAGGTCTGCAGGGGAGAGCAGCGGCTTCCGTTTGAGATGAGGACTGGGTGAGCTGCTCAGGGACCCAGGCCTCAGGCGGATCACAACTTGGGGCAGAGCCTGCTGCACAGGGTTGATGCAGGCTCCAGAGGGCCATGGGAGTGGGGGTGCCTGGATGCCAGGGAGGGCGAGGGGTGAAGAGAAGCACCAGGGACTGGGGGGACACGAGCAGCACACAGGAGCGACAGAGGGCAGGAGCGCAGTCATTGCTCAGCAAGATTTGTGGAACACCTTGTGTAGCAGCCACCTTCCCTGCACTGTGGTCCCGCGAGGGTGAAACAGCAAGGCCTGCAGGCTGCTTTAGTCCGTGAGCTGGGGCAGGCAGAGATGGGTGCTGGGAGTGAGCAGACATGGGTGGCAAAGGTGATGGGGCGAGGGCAGCGGCTTGAGACTTTCTCTCCACGGAGTGGAGTGCCACTGGATGCCACGGAGCATAGGAGGGACGTGGTCTAAGCCTGCACAGTGAGCTCCCTGTGGCAGTGCCACCTCCACGCCACCCTGAGAAGGGAGGCTGAGCGCTGGTCCCAGTGCCTCCTCGGCTCAGATGCTGTGCCTGGTGCTTCACGCACTGTAACCCAAGAAGCGGGCACGATTTTTTCTCCCATTTTAGATATCTGGAAACAGGCTCAGAGAGTCACGCAGCCCAGGGTGACAGAGCCAGGGATCCATCCCAGGCCCAGCTGTCTCCAGGGCCTGAGCTTTTCCCACCGCTGTCAGGTTGAGGGGCCGGAGTGGGGACAAGGAGTGGCCCAGCTTCGGTAGGCTGGGGCTCCACGCCAGGAAGGCTTGTGTCCTGAGCCAGCAAACCTGTGCCTGAGGACCAGAATCCTGCCCTGGTTTTCCCAGGCCCTGTGCTTGGCGCACACAGAGCCCCTGGGGACTGGAGGCCGCGGATCTGCAAACTTCCCAACACTAAGCGTCCATTAGGAGCCGGCGGGCTGATGTGTCTCTCTGGGTAAAGCGACCCTATATTATGACAAGTCCTTGGCAGCCCCGCTGCGTTTCAGAGAGAATTAGAAATGCTTTTCTTCCTTAATTCTCCTCTCCTGCTGCTCCTAATCCGATCGACATCGCGGTCTGCAAGAACATGCCTCGGCCCTCTCTTGCCAGAAACTTAATTTACATGGAAAACAGCTGCTGGGTCAGGGAGCTGAGCGCCTCAGCAAGGCTGGCCATGCCTTCCCCGCACCCAGGGCCTGGCCCTTCGCAAGCAGAGTGGAGTAACCCTCAAGGCTCACTCTCAGCTGCTGGTGGCGGGGGATGGGGCCCTCACGTCCCTGAGTCTCTCCTGTCCTGGGTACCATGAGCATCTGGGGCATCCAGGCTCCGGGGCTTCTGGCTGGGGTTGTCGAGCAGCAGGATATCCCTGGGAGAAAGGGCCTTTCCCATCTGGCGCCTGCACCCTCAACCGCCAAGCACCCTGAGGGTGCCATCCCTCCTTCTGGGGTGACCGTCTACGGTGACTGTCATTGGGAATGGCCCAGAGTTGTTGGCCAGACAACCATTCAGGTTCCTGAGCACATCCCAGCCCAGGCTTGCAATGAGCCAAATGACCTCGAGTCCACGTGCCACCACGTGTGGCTCAGCCAGCTGGCATCCAGCCAGCCCCGCCCACAGCACTGCACAAAGTGACTTTGCATCCTGATCTTGTTACTTCCCAGCAGCCTGGGGCAGGATGGTGAGACCCAGAGAGGTTTAGTCACTTGTTCAGTGTCACACAGGGAGTAACAGGTGGAGTGAGGTTTGGACCCAGTTCTTCCTGGACAGTTTCCACTGCTCTTCGCACCACAAAGGAAGGAGGATGGAGCAGAGGGGGAGTAGAGGGGAGAGACAGACACTTGCTGCCTGCCTGCTGTGTCTCATATCAGCTCTCCCTGGTGCAGCCATGGAGTGCACCTCGTGGGCCCCCAGCTTCCTCCTGGGGGTCCCAGTCATGCACTTTCTTCTGGGTCTTGGCATTTGTGCTGCTCCCAGCCAGTGCCTGAGTGTGCAAGCTCCTGAGAGTCACACTCCCCCCCCCCCCCCATATCTCTGGCTCCCATCCAGGAAGATTCCATCTGCCTCTCCTCCCTCCCTCCTATCCTGGGTCCCTTCCTGGCTGTGCCCCTGTCGTCACACACAGCACTTCCTCTGTGAAAATCCTTGCACGTTGGCTCTCATCCTGGCATCCGTCTGCCTCTCAGATGATCCAGGCTAACATGATCTTCACAGCGTAATCAGCAGCCCCATTCCACAGAGGAGGACATGCAGGCATGGTGAGGAGAAGCGTCCTGCCCCGGAATCACCGTCCCTTCCTGACCTGTCCCGTCCCCTACACTGACAGACAGGTGGTCTCACGCCAGCACCCCTCTTCCTCTGCTTACTCCCCAGCTGCACGCGGGCCCTGATACCGAGGCCGATGTCCTGGCTGAGTGCCTGGCCCTGCAGCAGCTCCAGGCGTCCACACAGCTGACCACCGGTGATGGGAAGGGCGGCCGTGCCCTGGGCCAGGAACTGCTTCCAGGTATGTGTGTGGGGAGGCAGGGCCGGGGCACAGCCTGGGAGGGCCCCTTCTCTGCCAGCCTTCCCCCTGGGACAGCAGTGATGCACCATGGGCACTCCTCTGGATGTGGCTGCCTCTCTGCTGCCAGCTCCCTGCTTCTCCATCATCTCCCTGCGGTTCTTGTCGTGAGTCAGCCACTCCTTCACGCTCCTCACTGCCCTACCCCTCTCAGTCTGGTCTCCAGGGCCCCATGGGCTTCCTGGGGCCTCACTGTTTGGGTCCCCCAAACACTCTGCTCCCTTTGGTTCTCAGGACCCTGCCCCCACCTTTCTCTCTCTTCCCTAAGGGGGCTCCTGCCCTTCCTTCTGACCCTGCCTCCTAGACCCCTCCTGCAGGCAGTCTCCCTGTTTCCTGTCTGTCTCGCCCACCACACTGTGAGCTCTTGCAGGGCATGGCCAGCGTGGCTCACGTGCAGAGCTGGTCAGGGGAGACATTGACACCTGGTAGAGAGGTGCCACTCCCAGGGTTTACTCTGGGCCCTTCCTCGTGGCCCAAGCTGCCCTGGGCACCTGCATGTGCCCATGTAGCCATGGCCTCCACATGAAACTCACTTAATCCCCAGCACGACTTCTGCCTTGGGAGAAAGCAGGCTCCTTCCAGTTCATCACGAAGCCCAAGTGGCCCAAGACACGACCCTGCAGGCTCATTCTGCCTGACCCTCCTGCAGCTGTGGCCACGGGGCAGGCATTCCAACCCAGACCCGAGCAGCCTGGCCCTTGGATTCCAGCGAACAGTGCCTGTGCTCCACCCCCCACTGTCCCTAAAGAAACCACAGCATCCCAGCAGAAAGCGCTGCCCACCCTCTGGGATTTCTTGAATTACTCCAACAATTTTAAGCATTTTTTTTTAAAAAAAAGTTTTCTAGTGTTTTATTCTTTCCTGTCAATGTTGAAGCAGCAGCAGATTTAAACTAAGTCAGAGCACTCACCACACAACCCTGGGAAGAGGCTTTGAACCCCTTCTTATGGGTTCCTCTTTGCAGGGGTCTGTGCTCAGACAAGGGCGGGGACACCTCAGGGTGGCTGCCCTGGAGGAGGGACGGGGTCCCCCTGCTGCAGGCTGCCTCTCCCAGGGTCAGAATTCTAAAGCAGCAGGGCTGGGAAGGCACGGTAGGGATGCCCCAGCCCGAGTGAGGGTATCCCCAGTGCCGTCTCAGTGTCCGGCAGTGACTGCATGGGGACCAGTGTTGAGGAGGACCCTGAGGCCACTTTCTGACTCCGCAGGGAAGAGGGCTGCAGCTGCTGAGCAGTGACTGCCCCCAGTGCAGAGATTCTGTGAGCCTCCATACCTTGGGAGGACTCAGGCCTGGGATGGAGCAGGGCTTAGTGCAGGGTCATCCAGAGAGGTCACCAGCAGAGCCGGTTAGAAGCCTGTTCCCCCAGATGCCCGCCCCGGGTTTGTCCTGGGGGAAGGGACAAGGCCAGCAGCAACCATGTTGTGAACACATGCCTGGCCAGTCACTTCAAAAGCAGCATCTTGTCTAGTCCCCAGCTATTATGTCCATGCTACAGATGGGAAAAGTCCGTTGAGGCAACACCACAGGTCTGCGGGGCCTCGGGGCTGGCACTGTGACTGCCAGCACCTGCTGCTCCTGCTCCGTGTCAGCCAGGAAGCAGTGTCTTCCAAGCTTTGACTCAGTTTCCCTGGGAGTACAAATGCAAGAGCATGTCCCAGCAGCTGTTCTCGGGACTGTTGCCATGTGTAGTAACTCCCATGACCCTCACACCAGCCTCCTGAGGTTCATGCTCCCCCATGCCAACAAGCAGCCCAAGCAGGATTTGAACCCAAGCCATTTGACTGCTGACTGTGCTCTTAGCCAGTCTGCTGCCCTCTAGCGGCTTGCTCCTGTGCCACACTGAGCACCTGCTGTATGCCAGGCCCTGTGCTGGCCCCTATCCTTGAGGGGCTTCCAGCGCAGCAGAGAGGGAAGAACCGAGCAGTCACCAGGGGTCCGGGCCGGCCAGGCTCTTCTGCAGACCACGCAGCAGACGCCTGCGGCCTGGTTGGGAACAGATGTTAGGGCCGGAGGTTAAGCACTCGTGGCCAATGATTGATGACATTGCTTCACAGCCCCAAGAGGGGCATCCCGGGGAGAGGCCGGCCAAGCTGTAGCTCATGTCAGTGAGTCCATCATTGCCACTCAGTGCCATTCGTGGGCTCAGAGTCTCTCGTGCACACACACACACAGTCGCCCTCCATGTGCCCATTCACCCAGGGCTGCACAGGCACGAGAGAAGCAGGAGACAGGATGGGAGAATCAGGAACAGAGAGGGCAGAGTGAGGAGAGATGGCCACTGGCTGGCTGTAGGGAGCTCCTGTATGCTGGTCTCGCAGGAGGGGCTGGCTGCCGCCTTCCTGAGACACCTCAGGCGTTTACCCACAGGCCTGTGTGTAGCAGACCCAGGCCAGCGTGACTGACGAGCCGTGAGGATGTGAGCAGAGGGAGAAGGGCAGGATTTATCGGGATTCCAGGCCTTCCCAGCTGTCACGCCTCCAAATTGGTTCAAGATGGCAGACGAGGAGGTGCTGAGGAGAGTGGTGAGTGGTACTGAGCCAGGCTCCCTCACACACACCCCTCCAGGTGCCTCCCTGCCCCCTGATCTGCCCCACCCCAGCATACAGTGTGACCGAGAGATGGAGGGATGAGTGGCACTACCCCTGGGAGCAGAGATGCCCGAGGCTGTAGGCCCAGGACTGAAATGGGGAGCGGGAGAGCGTGTGCCAGCCAGCTGCAAAGCCCCGACCAGAGCTGAGGCCCTGAGCTGGATGCCCAGACCACGCTCCACGCCGCAGTCCCAGGGCTTTTTGTCCCTACCACTTGGGAGACAGGGAGCTGCCCACCATGGGACTTCTGATCATCTGAAGTCCTTGTTCCTGTCTCTCTCTTCTCCCCATCCATGAGCGGAGTCTGGTGTGTTCGCATGTTGCCGCTTGTTGGATGATGAAAAGCCTTGGATCTGGACCCACAATGACCAGAGTGATACTCAGAGTGTAACTGCCGGCGCAGGGACGCACTGGCTGGTCACACTCTGGGCACAGCCCCTGGTGCACAGTCACCCTGGGCACCAACCTGATGCATTGACCTTAGGGGAAATGATGTCAGTTCCTACTAACGGGCCCCCTATGTTCAGATAAAATTACGAGCTTCAAGACTTGCAGCCTTGCTGTGTCCCTCTAAGAATCGGGGGTCATTTTCCCCGATTGGAGTTCCTTGGTGGAGACATCTGGGGATCATCAGCCTCAGAAACTCTCAGAGCCTCTGCTGGGCCCCTGGACCACCATCTGCCTCTGACCACGTGTCCTCCCCTGTCTGGTTAACCTACCTGCCTGAACGGGGCAAAGCTGATGCAAGGGGATGTCGCTCTGCAGGTGTCTTCTGTACGTTGGCAGTCTGAGGCCGGGATGTGTGTGGCTGGTTCCTCTCCTCAGTTGGAACCTTGTACGTGTACAACCTGAGCCTGTGCAACCATCCGCGGCAGCCCTTCTCGGAGATGTGCCAGGCCGCTCTGCCCCCAGCTCTGCAGTGCTCCTCTCTATGGGAACTTCACAGGGGCTCCCCAGGCTCTGTTTGCATACCTCTGAGGATGGGGAGTTCATTCTGTGTAAAGGCAACAGCACTGCCACCGAGCCCTAGGCTGGTTTTTGCATGTCTCCATTTCAGGGTCCCCATCTGCTTCTGGTGCTATCCAGAGCAAGCCTTGTTTTCACCTGGAACATCTCCATAGAGATTGAGGCAGCTACTCCATACAGTTCTCCCACTCACTACACACATAAGGAGCCTGGCCACCCCGTGCCAGTCCACGTCTGCTATCAGGGTTGGTCCCAGCCACAGTCATCGCCCTTTACCCAGGCCTGCACCAAGCAGAATGGGGCCATCGCCTCCCTTGTTTGGGCCCCTAAACTTCTGTTAATGCAACCTGGCTTGTTTTCCTTGTTGTCTTTCTCTCCCTAAGCAGGCACACACAGCTCCTGGGCCAGCCACGGGCATCCCTAGGGAGTGGCCAAGGCCCAGCGCTGTGTGCTTGGTTTCCTGCAGGTGTGTATCCTGGCACCATCACTCCTCATAATGGGCTCGCTCCAGGCATCCTGTCCCCCACGCACGAGGGCCCTCCCAGGCATCACCCGCTGGATGCCACTGCCGGTTCCCACCACCATCTTTCGCCTCTGCCTGCAGCTGAGGGCACCAGGGATGGGTAGGTACCTCCAGCCAGTCCTCCTCCAGGGGCACAAAGGCAGGGGTCCTGCAAACTATGTGGCTGTCACCGGCTCTCTGTGCCATGTCACTGGGGTCTCCCAGCAGCCCCCTGAGCCGGGTGGTCTAGGTGCTCACGCTTTGGACTGCCTCTCCTCATCCACCCGTTCCCCCTGGGGAGGTTGTATGCTCCCCACCTGACCCTCATTCTGAGCTACCTCCCCTGACCACCTCTGGAGACCCACTCCAGCTTCTCCACAGCACATCCTTGCATTAGGTAAGCAGCCTGCCACCTGCACACACCAGCAGTGCCGGCCTGGGCCTGTGACTGTGACCATGGCCGGGCTGCTGGGGCTGTCTGGGAGCCCTTACTGTTTGAGCTCTGCAGAGAGGGGCAGCTTCTTGTGCAATGTGGTTCTCATTGTGGCCGCTTAATTGGCTGGAAATGGCGAATGTGTTAATTGCTGGCCCTCGTGTGTGCGGCTGAAAGTTGTTTTGCCTGCAGAAGAGCGGGGGAGGACTCAGCCCTACCCTCTGCCCTCCCTGCCGTCTTTGCTTATCGCCAGCAGTGACTTAACCAGATCTGTCCCCACGCCTTCCCCCTCCCCTGCCTCTCCTCTGCAAGGCTACATACGGCATTGGCCTTGGCTCGCCTGCACCTTGGGCCAGCCTGGCCTCATCACCATTGTGGTTGCTCCTAACTGGGCTTCTCCTGCCATTCATTCTGTGTGTGGTCAGGGAGCCCCTGTGGGCAGGCCCTGGAGCCGGTGTTGGGGTTACTTAGGACTTCCATCCTGAAGAGGGTTAGTGTAAGGACAAGGAGACGGACAGACCTGCGCAGGCACCTGAGAGAGGAAGCAGACAGGGCTGTGGAAGCCCAGAGGAGAGCCCAGTAGAGGGGATGGGAGGGGGTTTCCAGGGAAGGCTTCCTGGAGAAGGTGAGTGGAGAGATTGGGTGTGTTCTGGGGAACATGAGCCATCATGTGGGGCAGTGCACTTGGGTGAGAGGCCACCAGGGCCAGATCCCCAAACCTGAGAGGGGGCCGTGTCCGAGGGGTGCTGAACAGTAGTGTGGTCAGCCCGCTGCGTAGGGCTGGGCTGCAGGGGACAGGACGGGAAGAACAGGAGTCGGAACCCTGGCTGGGCATCGGGGTGAGCCTGGGGTGTGCTGAGGGGCTGTTTACAGCGCAAGGCAAGTCACAAAACGGGGCCAAGAGACACCCTGACAACAGGGCCCTCCTGAGCTTATTTCTTCCTCTACAAAATGCATGAAAACAGGCTCCCCTGAGGGGGGCTGAGGAGCAGCTTCACAGGGCCAGGGCACCACCACCTGGGACGGGCTCTGTGGACCTGAGGCCCCGCCCCCCTCAGGCCACCTGCTCAGCCACCAGCCAGCTCCCAAACACCTCCCACCAAAGGAAAATAAACACAGAGCCCTTCACCGCTGGGCCCGCACGCCCTGCTCCGCCTCATTCATCACCTGCTGCCGCCAGTGAGAGGCAGAGTGATGACAAGACAGGACCCCGGCCCACCCGCCACCCCCACCTGCCGGAGCAGCACCCGGGTGCCCGCTCCTTCGGCCGCACAGAGGAGGGCCCTCGTGCCGGACACCAGGCCCGGGCCCGGCTTGCAAGAGTTTCTTTTTTCATCCCTTGAGAAGAGAGTGGGGGGCCAGGCCTGCAGCCTCCCTTGCCTGCCAAAGTCAACAGGGAGCGGCCACTCGGGGCTCCCCAGTGGTTTGCTGGGGCGTTTAAATAGCTTGACAGAATTATCTGATTCACTCAGAAATATTCTAAGAGGGCCTGACTTCATGACCAAATGTATTTACCCTGGCTCAGAGAAGATGCAGGAGAGAGTGGGTTTTTTTTCCCCCAGCCCTGTGCAAGGTCTGAAACCCGCTGCCTGCCAGGCCAGTGAGGTTTTATCCCAATTTTTATAGGTTCCAATTGGAGCAAAAATATTTGATTTAGGGATCATTTGCATGACTCAGAAGAGGCCCTGCACACAGGCTGTCATTTTGCCTTTTAAAGCGTTCAGGTAGAGCAGCCTGGCCTCGCAGCCGCAGCGACGTGATGGTGTCTGTGGCGTCACGCCAGCTGTGAAGGTGGCAAGTGGGAATTTCTGGCAGGATTGAGAAAGGAAAAGCAAACTCTGAAAATGCATGCTTCCCCCTGCCAGATCTGGTTCTCCTTTAATTCTGCGGGCTTCGGAGCAGAACCGTTCCGAAGCCTGTTGGTTAGCGTTGTCAGTTGTCCTCCATGTGCCATGCCCAGTGCTGGCACCAGGTGACCCAGGGGGCTGCGAGCTGGCCCTCCCCGCAGGAGCTACCTGGAAATGGGGAGGGGAGAAGGTAAGCACCGGGCGGCCAGCCTGCCGGAGGGAAGCTCCATGCTGCTGGCCGTGCCCTGGCCCAGCTGTGGCCTGCAGAACCCATGCTGCGGACGCCTGGCTGTGCAAGGGCCTCCACCACTTCCAGTACACAGGGGTCAAGGTGGCCCTGGGAGACAGGCCTACAGGTACTAATAGCAGTAATTAACCCACCGAGACCAGCTCCCGAACTTACAAAGGAGACGGGGACCTAGGGAGCATGGTTGCTGAGCCTGGGCCCCTGCTCTCAGCGAGCTCACGGTGACAGGGTCCCAGCCGTGAGTAGTGACAGCACAGTGGAGGGGCAGCGGCAGCGTGATGCTCAGGCTGGAAGGCACAGAGGGTGCTCAGGGCAGCAGCAGACGGGAGCCCCCGGCCTCGCTCTGACTCTCTCTGCTCTCCGTCCCTCTGAGAGAGGCACTGATCTGCCCAGTTGGAAGCGGGCATGGGTAGCAGGCCTTGCTTCCCAGGGTTCCCTGGGGCTATGACATTGAACTTGCAGCATCTTCTAATGTGGATGGGCCAACAATTCTGTCAATCCCAACGAGGAAATGGAGACTGAGCTCCCACTCTTTCTGTGAAGGATGTAAATGCTTCCTAGGCTGTAAGCCGTCTGCCTGGTCCACAGAGCTGCCCTCAAGCCAACTGACACCAGAGGTGCAGTGGTCCCTGGGAACAGGACCCAGAGGTTTGGGAAGGGGGCTGCACAGGGCCACTCGGCTCAGCCGGGCCCTGGGTGCCTGTGCAGCTCTCAGCCACCGCAGCTTTTGCTCTGCCCTGATCTTCCAGAGAGTAGTCTTGGGCCTGTATCCTGCAGGGTGTATGTGAAGGTAGGTAGTGAGCCTCCCATCTCAGGGGGTGTGCAAGTGGAGGAGAGATGGAGATGGGAGAGGGGCCCTCAAGCACACTGTGCAGGAGAAAAGCCAGCTTGAACGCAAGCCCATCCCTTCATCTTGCTGGCCGCGATGATGGGTGGCGAAGGGGCTGAGAACACGTTGCTGTTCCCAGCGCTTTGCACTGCTCTCAGGTTGTTGCCTCACCGTGACCTGTGAGCTCAGCGCTCTGTGGCCAGGGGCACCTTGGCAACTTCTCTGACCTCGGTTTCCTGATTTATAAGAAGGGACAAGGACTCTGGCCTCACGGGGCTGGGGGAAGGTGGGGGTCAGTGTATGGGGATTGTTACTGCCATGGGCTGTCCTGCTCAGGAGCTGCCACAGCTCTGGGGGGCGGAGAGGCTGTCATAGGACCCCTCCTCCAGGTGGCCCAAGTGCCCTGGACACCTGGCAGGGCTGGCTGGTATTCAGCGCTCGGTGTGGAGTGAACACGGCACCCCGCAGGGAAGCCCAGGTGCAGAGACGTCACAGCCCCAGGGAAGCAGTGTGGGCTTCTAATGTGGTCCTGTCTGCCCTGCCCTGCCCTCTCATAACCTCTGCTCCCTGCTGCCTGTTTAAGTGTCCCTCTGTGGATCCCATTGGATTCTAATGGGTTTCAAACTGTCCTTCTGACTTGAACCCACTCTGCAGTAAAAGCTTCCTCTCCTGTCCGCACCCTTGTGGGTCAGACCAGGGCCAGCAGGGGGGAGCGGGTGCAGCAGCCAGGCCCAGGGCCCCGGCCACTGAGGTCCAGCTGCTCACGGTCACGTTTGCTCTGTCCAGGTTGGGGCCCAGCCTGCTTTCGCCCATGGTGAGCCCACTGAAGGGACTCGGGCCCGTGGCCTCCCAGAGCCGTTCTCCAGGGGGCCAGTCCTTCTCTACGCTGCCCAGCAAGCCGTCCTACCCACCCTTCCAGAGCCCTGCGCCCGCACCTCTGCCCAGCCCGCAAGGTAAGCCCTAGCTGGAGGCCCTCCGCCTCTGTCTGCACCCGCCGCCTTCCGCTCTAGCAGCCGCTGGGAACACTATAGCCACCCACAGGGGTAGGCAGGCACCAGGGGATGTCAAGCCAGGAACCGAGGGGGTGTGGGTGACTCTGGGAGGGGCACTCCTGAGGGGAACTGGCTTCTAGCACCTTCTGTGCCCTGGCACAGTCTTCTCGTTCCCGCCCACAATGCCTGGACCAGATGACATGGGAGCTGAGTGGTGCCTTGTGGATGCCCCCACCCCCACCCCGCCAGGTACTTCTGCTTGGCTGACAGCCCTCCCTCCTCCTCTGCAGGCTACCAGGGCAGTTTCCACTCCATCCAGAATTGCTTCCCCTATGGCGACTGCTACCGGACAACCGAGCTGGCCACCAGTGGGGATGCACTCACCGGGGAGGCCCATGGTTTCACAGCTCTGCGACCCAATGGCTACCACAGCCTCACTGCACCTTTACCTGCCACAGGTGAGCCCCGCCTGCAACCCTCCATTCCCCAAACCCCTGGCAAGGCCCTGCGCTGTGCTGGGTGCTATTTATGCACCTTGTCGCACATTCTGTGGACCGCCCTGTGTGGTAGGATCCTCCCCACTCTACAGAGGCTCAGAGAGGCCCCTGGATTCCACAGCACTGGGATTTGCTGGAGTCAGTGTTCTTTCCACAGCGCCCTGTGGCTTGCATGAATCTGGCCACTGACAGGTTTCTGGAAACACAGGAAAGTCAGCTGGGAGCTCGTGGGCTCACTTGATAGACTGAGCACCTACTGAGTGACGGGCAGTGAGACGAACACCGGCCTGCACTGAGCAGTGGAGGCGGTGCCTGCTCCCAGGCTGCCTGTGCACTCGGCACCTCCCTACAGGGCCCGGAGCCCTGCCCACGTACTGCCCCCAGCTGGAGCGGCAAAGCCCAGGGAGGAGGGAGAAGGGAAGCCTTGCGTGGCCATGGTGGATGGACGCTCAGCCATCAGGGCCCAGCCCGGGCAGCGCAGGGATATCAGACTGGGGGCCCTGAATTCCCTAACCAGACCCCCACCACATTTCAGCCTCAGGGTCTAGCTGGGGACCCAAGGACTCCCACACAGGGAACCCCAAGATCCGTCCCTGTGCAGCCAGGGGTAGAAGGACCAGGATATGGTCTCAGGCCAGACGAGCACACACAAACCGTGTGGGTCCCTCTGTGTATAGGGCCCTGCATGTCTGGATGTGCCTGCCATGTTCTTTCTTTGCACGCTTGGGCAGCAGGTGTGTGTGTGTGTGTGTGTGTGAAGTAGGGTGGGGGAGCCCCCTTGAATGTGTCAGCAGCTCACAGGGCATGTGCCGTCAGCTCTGCACACATGTGCTGGCATCGTGCATGTGCCGACATTCACACGCCCCATCACTGCACGTTACATTACTGACCCCGTGACACATGTCAGTGTCCACAGATGTGTGCGTTAGCATGTTTGGGCTGTTGCACCTGAGTGTGTGTGTGCACATGTGTGCCTGCGGGAGTGCAGTGGACACTCGCCACATGCATGCACGCCTGATGTGTGCACGTGGGCCGCCTGCACAGCGAGTGCTCCGTGCTTGTGCACACGCAAGTGACGCCTGACTGCCGGCCTGGCCATCCAAGCTCCCCAGCTCCCACCCGGCGCAGCCGAGGTTTCTCAGCTTGGCCGAAGGGTCTGAATCAAACAGCTCCCAGCAAAAGGAGGTGTCCACACCCTGCTCCACACAGACAGGAGGCCTTCTGGCCTGCCCCCTCCCTAACGCCCACTTCAAGCCACCTCCACCACCACCACCGGCACCCCCCGTGGCCTAACTGCCATCTGTCACGACGGAGGTTGCATGTTGATGCAGGACTGAACCTACACTGAGAGGCTGGCAGGGCCTCGGGACGCTTCGGTGCAACCGCACTGCATGGTGGGGAGGGGGGTACAGGCCCACTGTCTAAGCCACACAGATTCCTGACAGCAGCTCAAGGACAGGAGCCTGAAGGCCTCTGAGCAGTGACCCCACCTGGAGACAGCACGTCCCCTTGCCCCGCTCCCTGGCACTGCATCCTTAGGCAGGTGTCTGACCCTCCCTGAGCCCTACTTCCATAAAGTGGGATGGCTGTGCTGTGCAAGCAGAGCAGGGCCTCGGTGCGCTTAGGCTCGTGGGGAGGAGGCCGCCGAGAGGGGGTGAGCCAGGCCCTCCTGCAGAGGGGGAGCCCCTCACCTGCCTTCTGCCCCACAGTCCAGCCCTGGGTGACAGCCCGCCTCCAGCCAGCCCACCTGCCCCCTCAGCTGCCCTGGCCCTGGGCCTCCTCCCATGGCCCCCTGCCTACCCGAACCTCCAGCCCCCCACTTGCAAGAGCAGAGGGCTCAGAGCAGGCTCAGCCCCCAAGGGGACGCCATGAGAAGGGACCCTGGGCAGGCAGGGTTAGGACCGACAGCTGGGCAAGCTCAGCCCCGCAGTCCCCGCCCTGAGCCTCTCCTGCCGCCCACAGGCTATGAGGCCCTGGCTGAGGCGCCGTGTCCCACGGTGCTGCCACCGCAGCCGACTGAAGAGGTGGTGTCCGGCGGCCCCGAGGACTGCGGCTTCTTCCCCAACGGGGCCTTTGACCACTGCCTCAGTCACATCCCCTCCATCTACACAGACACCTGAAGCAAGTCCACACCGCACCTGCCTGCCGTCTCCGCAGACGCTGCTCATCCCCTTGCCGCCCGCCCCTCCCTCTGCACCCCGGGCCGCAGACGCCGGGGTGCTGGGTGCCGCGGTGGCCGCCGGCGCTGCCCAGGCAGCAGTTGTGGTGCCCAAGCCAGGCGCTCAGGGTCTGTGACCCTGCGACAGTCCCTGGATCGTGTCTCCCAGTTTCTCTCCCTCGGTTTTGAGATGACAGACCTCGTGTATATAAAATGTACAGGATGTGTTTTCCATTCTCCTGCCAGTTTTATATTTTTGGTTTTACAAGAAAAACATTAAAAACTGGAAACGAGGGGCCCGGCCCTGCCTTGTGATTCAGCCGAGAGAGGCTCCGAGGAGTGCGCCAACAGGAGCCGGCACCCGGGGCTCGGGGCAGCATGGGAGCCAGGGGGAGGGGCCAGGGTCACAAGGCACCCACCATGCTTGCTGGGCGCAGGGCATCACTGCGAGATGGGCCCCCTGCACACAGGTGAGCGATGGCAGCGCGGGAGGCACTCCTTGGCCGGCCCCGGGGTCCACAGTCAGACAGGAATGGGAGCCCAGCTCCAGGCAACACAGGCCTCAAGGCAGGGGCGAGAGAGCATCCTGCATCCAGCCAGGACCCTGCCCACCCTGCGGGCTGAGGGCCAGGAGGAGGCGAGCAGTCGACTCTGGGAGTACCGAGGCTCTCTGGGGCCGCCCCACCCCGCCTGCCCCCCTCTCTCCCGTGACCACCTGGGCAGGGGACACAGACAGTGTCCTGCCGCTCCCTTGTGTCACCCACAAGGGAAATTCCTGCCTCGCCACGGCCGAAACGGGTGCAGTGAAGGGAGGCCGGGCTTACTGCACGCCAGGCGCTCCCCTGCCTTTCTGGAAACATCCCCAGAGAGGGCCTCCTTGTTCCCCTCTGTAGGTGGGGAGGAGCAGCCAGGATTCACACCCGGCAGCGGTCACCCCTGGACCGCACAGTTGGCTTCAGTGGGCAAAGCAAGAGATCCAGCCAATCCCCTTCTTTGTAGAGGGGACACTGGGGTCACAGAAGTCACTCGGCCAAGCACACAGACCTGTGATGCGTGCCTGGGCCCTCCCCGTCTCCTCCATCCCCATCTCCTCCGTCACCTGCCCACGTGGGTGCCGCTCGGTGCTCCTGGCTCCTCCCAAGACCCAGCTGAGGAGGTGGCACCCCGGGGTGTGCTCCACCTGCTGTGTCCAGGGCTGACGTGGCTGCCTGGCACCCAGGTTCCTGGCTGGCTGCGGCCAATGAGGAGCCCACCTTGGGAGGGAAGATGGTAGGGAAGGTGCCCTGGGCGGCTGTGTCCTCCGCTGAAGGTTTTGGCTCTGGTCGGCCGCCATCCGCACAGCCGCCTCTCCCAGGTGGGGCAGGGGACAGGCTCCCTGTGTTAGGGAAGGCGGGGCTCTGCGCCATCCCTCGTGCTCTGGCCTGGCTGCTGCTGTTGCGGTGCAGCCCTTGGCTGGGCTTGGCCCAGGTGCTGACCTCCCTGCAAGAAAAAATTCAAGGAAGCCCCATAGACACGGGAGAGCAGGGAGGGTTTGAAGGCCCAGGGAGAGGCCACACCAGGAGCTGTGGAGACAAGCAGTTCAGGAAGCCTGGGTGCTGCTTTCACAGGATAGGGGGTGGAGTTTATGGAGTGGCTTGAGTACCACCCCTTTCCATGCCCTTGTGTGGAAATCTGGAGTCAGGTGCATGATGGGCATTTCTGTGCCAGTCATGGTAATTTTATTATAATGACCTAAAGGTCACCATGGGAGCCCAGCCTACTGCGGTATTGACTGTTTCTTGCCAGTACATGGAAGAGGGTGGGGTTCGGGCCGTGCATGGGGGCCGCCCTCAGCTCCCCTGCGCTCGCTACCTCCCTTCCTACAGTGATGCTTACCCCGTTATAGGTGGTGATTTAAGGGCTTGCTCCTGGGAGCCGAGGCTCAACGTCGGTGTTCTCAGGCACCAGAGCCCACACCCATCCTCTGCACCTGCCTGACCCTGCAGGTCCCGCCTACCCCTGCCCCAGTGGGCCTAGAGCGCCGTCGCTCAGCCTGCTGCGCCCCCGCCCACACCGCAGGGCTGCTCCAGTGCAGATCCCGCCTGTCTTCTGCTCCACAGAAGCCGCTCAGCCCCACGCAGGGAGGACTCTTGTCTGTTAATAATGCAAGGACTGAGCTGCGAGCACACACAGGAGCTGGCGGTTGGATCCTAGTTAATTGCAGGAGCAGGAGAGGGAGGGAAGGGAGGGAAGGCTCGGAGAAGAACAAAGAGGCGCCCCACAAGACAGGGCGGTGGGGGCTGCAGAAGGAGGAGGGTGCTGCCCGGGGCCCATGCAGCACGCAGTGCGGCTGCTGTGGCAACTTCACTGTCGCCCCTCCGAGCCCCCACTCCTCTTGACACACTCGGGACCGTGGCGTCTTGCACCTCATTTCAAATGCACAAGCCACGGGGCCCCTCCCCCACAGCCAGGCCTCCTGCTCCTCCTCTTATTTAGAAATCACCAAGAGCCACAGCCCCTTCAGAGCTCACTCTGTCCTGTGGGGGCCGTGGGCCATCAGCGCAAGGGAGCCACCAGCATTCCGGGGGACATCGGTCACCCCCCAACTGGCAGGGAGGAGACTCATGGAGGCACTAGGGCTTCCTCTTCCTCCACCAGGGCACAGGCCCAGGGTCCCCTCCCACTCCTAGTCCTGCTCTCCAGAGACCACTTCTTTTAAAAACAAAGATTTTATTTATTTGAAAGTTAAAGAGTGAGAGATCCTCCCATCAGCTGGTTCACTCCCCAGATGTCCACAACAGTCAGGGATGGGCCAGGCCAAAGCCAGGAGCCCAGAACTCCATCCCGGTCAGCCACATGCATGTCAGGGGCCCAAGCCCCTGAGCCATCTTCTGCTGCTTTCCAAGGCCATTAGCAGGCCGCTGGATCAGAAGCAGAGCAGCCGGCACTTGAACCAATGCTGCAATAGAGGTTGCTGGCATCACAAGCAGTGGCTTAACCCACAGTGCCACAACACCGGCCCCAAGGGATGACTCCTGTTCCTGCAGGTCCTGGAGGGTGGTGGGCCCAGACCCTCAAGGCGGAGCCCCACCTGCTGCCACTGCACAGAGCAGGAAACTCAGGCCACCCCATCCTGGCATCCTGGCATCCTGGCATCCTGGTCCAGAGTGGAGAACAGGGACTCAAGGGGTCACCAGGGGGTGCTGGATCAGGTTTGCTCCTCAGGACACCCTCGGCTGCAAAGGGGCCAGGCTGGGAAAGCTGGCAGGCTTTGTCCATGAGAGCAGCCCGGAGGGGTCCTCATCACTGCTCACCGCCCAGCTTCCACACCAGCGCCTGGCCCGCAGCAGGTGCCCAATGCCTGCTTGTTAAACACATTGTGGAGCTGGAGAGAAAGGCAAACAAGGGCCTAATCCGCAGAACACCTGTGCACAGTAGGGCTGCAACATGTGCCTGTGAACTCAGATGACCCATCCAAACGAGGACATGTCTTGTGCCAAGGCGCAGAGCAGGCAGCAGGCGGTGACAGGCGGTGGAGGACCCAGGCCTCCAGCCCCAGCCCTGTTCTGTCCACCTCATCCTTTGCATCTACCAGAAAAACCAATACAGCCCACGCCTGCTGCCTCCTAAGGAGCCGGTGCACTTTGTCACATCCTGCTGCGTCATCACCCCATTTTACGGAATGCAGAACTGAGGCTCACAGAGGCAGCTCACCCAAGACCACAGTGGAGGCCAGGCAGAGTGGGGCCCCAGGGCAGGTCGGGCACCAGTGCCAGCCCCCCTATCCTGCTGATGTGCGTCCCACACTGAGACGCGGGGCCCAAGGAGCCGCCCAAGGATTCCTGGCACATGCCCCTGTGCTCTGGCCAGAAGGGACCATTACACGTTTACAAGTCCCGGTTTATGTACTCGCCTGGGCCGCCAGCCCTGCCAGGGATTTATAGGTTCCTAAGTGGTCTTGTCTCTAGGGAAAATGCAAATGGAGCGTCAGCTGGGGAGGAACCGCCAGCCCTGGCAGCCCTGCACCACAGCGCCGGCACTGCCAGTGCCTGGTCTGGGGCCTCCAGCCGTGCTGGGCCAGCCTCGCCACCGGGAGCCAGACCTGTCTGCTCCAAGGGCAGGATCACCCGTGCTCACACAGGCTCAGGGGTGGGCAGAACAGGGAACCCCAGCAAGCCGGGCTCCAGCGTGATTTGGAGGGGCTGAGCGCAGGCAGGGAATGAAAATGGACCTTCCCCCAGGGTCCATCCAAAGAGTCCCTGGGGGTCCTGCCCCGTTCTCTATACTGTTGTGCACGCCTCAGATATTCCAGAAAGGAATGTAAGCAGTGTGGCCAGGCGGGCGTCTTCTCGCTTGCCCGGCAGCCTGGCCAGGTGCGAGGGGCTCAGCTCAGCTTGTCCGGTCTGGGCACTGCAAAGGGTCACCTCCTAAATCCAGGGTTCCACTTGGTAAGATGGGCTGGTGGCTCCTCCCTTAGAGGCCACTGAGATGGGGCCTCTAAGAGTGAGATCCTCTTACGTAGCAGGTGCTCAACAAATGGACCTCCTAGAACGGCCATCCTAGGACTGCCCAGCAAATATCCCATGGCCCCCTGTAACTGCACGGAGGTCCAGGCTCCGTGGGGAGGCAGCCAGGAGATGGTCTGACTTGCCTAGGGCTGTGTGGTCATTTGGTGGCAGGTCTGTGGCCTCCAGACTGCCAGGGCACTGCACTTGTCATTCCCATGCTGTCCTGAACAGAGGCCTGCCCGGTCAGCACAGCCCAGCCTGTCCACCCAGGGTCCAGGACCTTGATTCCAGTTCTGGCTGTGCAGCCTTAGACAAGTCATGTGCTATCTCTGGGCTTCGCCTGAGAAAAGTGGAAGATCACAGTCCTACATAAGGAGGTGTTGAGGAGGATGTTCAGGAAACCACGTGTCAGGGCCGGCGCTGTGGTGTAGCGGGCAGAACCGCCACCTGTAGTGCCAACATCCCGTATAGGCACCGGTTCGAATTGCGGCTGCTCCACTTCTGATCCAGCCCTCTGCTGTGGCCTGGGAAAGCAGCAGAAGCATGTGGCCCCTGCACCCACATGGTAGACCTGGAAGAAGCTCCTGGCTCCTGGCTTTGGATTGGCTCAGCTCGCTGGTGATGCCATTTGGGGAGTGAACCAGCGATGAAAGACTCTCTGCCTCTCTGTAACTCTACCTTTCAAATAAATAGATATTTTTAAAAAACAAATAAACAATGTTATTTAAAAACAACAACATGTGTGGCAGCATTTGGTGACCATGAACTCAGGGACAGAGTGGAACAGGGGCCAGCCCCTGTCTGCGGACGCAGCACTGAAGCCATTAATTACACCCCAGGTGGCTCTAAAAAGAGGGTGGGGCTGCCGGGCACTGTGGCCCTAACCAGCAGGGTCAGCCCCTGCCAATGGGGCTCAGAGCTCGGCACCCAGAAGTGCGCCCACCCTGGCCTCCCTTGCATAGCTGCAGATGTGTCCTGTCTAGGACTTCTCTCTGTATTCAGTGCGCCCTTGGCACTGATCTCCCTCCCTGAGGCTCTCTCACAGCCCCTGGCCAGGTGCCTGGGAAGTGGCACTACTTGCAGTGTCTCCCCGAGGGGCTTGCTAAGCAGGGAGGGCAGTGGCCACTGTGGGCAGACACGGAGGCCGAGCGCAGCCCCAAAAGGCACAGGGGTAGACAGAGCCAGGGCTCCAGGGTCAACATGTCTGCGGCGATGCACGCGGTCCACTTCCTTCTGCGGGCTGCCACCTGCTCTCGCCACCTGCTATGCTCCTGACACCGGGAGTGCCTTGAGCCCCTCTGTGTGCCACCCACCTGACCCAGGGGGACTCATTCTCTCATCAAGAATAGAGCAAGGGGCCGGTGCCGCGGCTCACTAGGCTAATCCTCCACCTTGCGGCGCCGGCACACCGGGTTCTAGTCCCGGTTGGGGCTCCGGATTCTGTCCCGGTTGCCCCTCTTCCAGGCCAGCCCTCTGCTGTGCAGGAGTGCAGTGGAGGATGGCCCAGTGCTTGGGCCTGCACCCCATGGGAGACCAGGAAAAGCACCTGGCTCCTGGCTCCTGGCTCCTGCAATCGGATCAGCGCGGTGCGCCGCCCGCAGCGCGCTGGCCGCGGCACCCATTGGAGGGTGACCCAACGGCAAAGGAAGACCTTTCTTTTTGTCTCTT